TATATATATATATATATATATATATATATATATATATATATATGCATGTATGCATGCATGCATATGTTTATAAATAAATATGTATATATGTATATATATGTATATATATGGTGGTGTTTCTCGTGTCTCTCTGTCTTTATTCTTCCTTTTCTACGCTGTCTCTGTTTATGCTGTTGCAAGAACAAAGCATTAAAAGTGCAGCGCGGAGCCAATTGATGCATGCTGAGGTGTACGTACACCTCACCAACAACAGTAACATGTCGCTTAACGGGCGGCCTTTGCTGCTGCTGCTGCTGCAGCAGCTGCTGCTGCTGCTGAAACAACACCAAGCAATTGCTTCTCCCGTGCAGGAAGAGACACTCTATAGAAGGCCCATAGGCTGCAATGGCTGTTGCTGTCGCTGCAGCAGCAGCAGCAGCAGCAGCAACAGCAAGCAGCAGAAGCTGCTGCTGCAGCAGGATTTGCTGCTCCCTCTATGTCTAACTCTAACAGCAAGCTGCAAATGTGTTTATACATTGAATTGAATTTATTGCTGCTAATTGAAACAGCCAGCAGCAGCAGCAGCTAAATATACAGCCCGCTTCGTGAAGAGGGTCTCTGCAGCAGTTTGCTGCTGGGGGCCCCACGGCCTCGCAGCACACTTTGGGGGCCCCTAAGATTACTAAGGAGCAGCAGCAGCAGCAAAACGCGAACCTTTGCAGCTGCTGCTGCTGCTGCCGTTGCTGCTGCTGCTGCTGCTACTGCTGTTGCTGTTGCTGCTGCTGCTGCAGCAGCAGCAGACTAAGCGGTTGTGAGTTCGTAGGAGACTCCGTTTTCTCTCGTCAATACCCAGAGGGACTTCTCCCGATGGTATAAGGAGACAGTTTTCATTATCTGCACACAACCCGTAAACCCTAAACCCTAAACCCTAAACCCTAAATCCTAAACCCTAAACCACCTTCTGGAGCAATGGGTAGCATATGCAAATGAGTGTGCTGCTCTGGCTCCTGTTGTCACTGTTCCTGTAGTTGCTGCTGCTGTTGCAGCAGCAGCAGCAGCTGCTGCTGCTGCTGCTGCAGCTGCTGCTGAAGGGGTTTCTTTTTTCATAGAAGGCCTACATGGAGAGGAGACTGCCACAGAATGTTCGACGGCAGCCGCGGCAGCTGCAGCAATCCGCTGGATTTGCTGCTGTTCCCCCAAATACCACCTAAGAAACCTGACCCGCTCAGCTGCAGCAGCAGCAGCAACAGCAGCAGCAGCAACAGCAGCAACGGCACAGCGAACGGAGGCTCAAGACAAACGCAGAGCTACAGTTAGTGCTGATACATCAGCAGCAGCAGCAGCAGCAGTATCAGCGTCAGCGGCAGCAGCATCAGGACCAGCAGCAGGAGGAGGAAGAACACCAGCTGCAGCAGCAGCAGCAGCAGCAGCAGCAGCAAGTCTTACATGCCAGAGTCTAACAGCTGACTCCGCGACGGAGTAAGAGGCAATCCAGTTACCATCATCACTAAACCCTAAAGCAGATACTCCTCCTGCAGCAGCAGAATACAGATATGCTGCTGCTGCTGCTGTTGCTGCTGCTGTTGCTGATGCTGCTGCTGCTGCTGCTGTGCTGCTGCTGCTGCTGATGCTGCTGCTGCGCTGCTGCTGCCCTGGTGTTGTCCTGCTGCAGCGCTGCTCTAGTTCTGCTGCTACACTTATGCAGCAGTGAACCATCTTAACCAACACTAGGGCTTAGGGTTTAGGGTTTAGGGTTTAGGGTTTATGGCTTGCCTTGGTGGCCTTCAAAGACTCTCATCTTTGTGGCTGTCCTCAAGTCGTACGCAACTACAACCCCTTCTTCTGTCCCCACCGCCAACCTAATCAACAAACCCTAAACCCTAAACCCTAAACCCTAAACCCTTGTACAGAAGCTGCAAGAGGCAGATCCCTTGCGGTCAGCTCCAAGGCCCCCGCCGAACCCCTCACCTCGCAACCCTCTGAACCACCATCCCCTATAAACCCTAGACCCTAGACCCTAAACCCTAAACCCTAGACCCTAAACCCTAAGCACTAAACCGTACCTTTGAGTGTTTTGATTGAAAGAACAGATAGGGAAAGAAGAGACAAGAGCGAAGAGGAGACAGGTTGCTGCTCGGAGACACCGCCGCCTCACAGAGCCGCGACAAGGGTCAAGATAGCGCAGCAGCGCATCAACGAGGAGACACAAAGAATGTGCCCCAGACGAACGATACCTGCAGCAGCAGCAGCAGCAGCAGGAGCAGCAGAAGCAGCAGTAGGAGAAGCAGCAGTAGGAGGAGCAGTAGCAGAAGCAGGAATAGCAGCAGGAGATGCAGCAGCAGTTGCAGCAGCACGAGCAGAAACAGCACCACAGGCAGCAGCAGCAGGAGAAGCAGCAGCAGCAGCAGAAGCAGCAGCAGGAGATGCAGCAGAAGCACATGAACTCAGCGTCATGCATCGGCCACAGCCTCTGCCTCTCGTGCTGTCTCCCTCTGTCTCCTAATTGAGTTAAGTTGCTGCCTGTCTCCTTGCTCTGTCTGTCTCCTACTGTCTCCTTTCTGTCTTCTTCCGTCTCCTTCCTGTCTCCTTTCTGACTCTTAACTGAATGGCGTTGGCTTCGCTTGATCCCTTCTCTACTGCACTCGCTGTCTCCTTTTCGTCTGTCTCCTGTTCAACTGTCTCCTCTTCAGCTGTCTCCTTCGTGTCTGCCTGCCTCTATCTCTATCATCTGTGCCTCCTTCTATTTCTAGCTATGTCTCAACCTATATATCTATATATCTTTATCTTTATTCCTATCGCTATATCTATGTCTCTTTCTCTATCTGAATATATCTCTATATCTGCTTCTCTTTCTCTGTTTATTTCTGTCTCTTCCTTCTGTCCCCTTTTGTTGAGGTGTCTCTGTTTGAGGTGTCTCTGTATGAGGTGTCTCCGTGTCTCAGTTTGAGGTGTCTCTAAGGTGTCTCCGTTTGAGGTGTCTCCGTTTGAGGTGTCCCCGTGTCTCCGTTTGAGGTGCCTCTAAGGTGTTTCCGTTTGAGGTGTCTCCGTTTGAGGTGTCTCTGTGTCTGTTTGAGGTGTCTCCGTGTCTCTGTTTGAGGTGTCTCTGGGGTGTCTCTGTGTCTCCGTTTGAGGTGTCTCTGTGTCTGTTTACCGTGTGAAGCAATCGACTAAAAAGAGCAGCGCAGGCGCAGCCATTTGATAGCCGCCTGTCTCCTCAAGTCTGCAGAAAAGAGAGACAGAAAGGAGACACTTAGCAGCAGCAAGAAATTAAAAATAAATACATAATAAAAGCAAAAAGAAGAGACAGAAGGAGACATCAAAAAAGAAACAAAGGCGTAAAAGGAGACACTAAAGCAAAAGAGAAACACCAGAGGAGACAAAGCATAAAAGAGAGACAGAAGAGGAGACACTTAAAGACAGAAAGACAGATAAAAGAGACAAACAGGGGGTGAGAAAGACAAAAGGAGACACATAAGAGAAGAAGAAAACAAGCAGAGACACTGCAGAACAAGAAGCAGCAGCAGGAGACACCCCACAAGAGAGAGAGAGAGAGAGAGAGAGAGAGCGAGAGATAAAGAACAAACAAGAGACAGAGACAGAGACAAACGGAGACACCTAACAAGGAAAAGAGCAAAACGGGGACAGTAAAGAAAAGGCAAAGACAAAGGGAGACAATGAAGAAGGCAAAGAGACAAGAAGAAGCAGCAAAGAAAAGAAAAAACAAAAGGAGACACTTAGCAAGAGAAAGAGACAAGCAAAAATCACAACGAAGAGACAGAGACAAAAGGAGACACCCAGCAAACATGCAGCCCCAGCACCCGCTGCACACACGATGAACGCAGCAGCCGCCGCAGCAGCAGCTCTATAGACAACTGCCGCTGCAGCAGCAGCAACAGCAGCAGCAGCAGCAACAGCAGCAACAGCAGCAGCAGCAGCAGCAGCAATACCTTGCTGCTCGGGAAAGGGCCTTCGTAGCCCCAGGCAAATCCATCCTCACAAGGCGACGCAGGAGAGCAGCAGCAGCAGCAGCAACAGGCGTTGCTGCAGGAGGAGGAGTCCCAGCGGAAGCAGCAGCAACAGCAGCAGCAGCTGCTGCTGCTGCTGTTGCGTGCTGCTGTTGAGTAAGGGGGAACACGGCGAGCAGCAGCTGATAGTACTGGACGGCCCCCTGCATCAGCAGCAGCAGCAGCAAAAGCAGCAGCAAAAGCAGCAGCAAAAGCAGCAGCTTGAAGAGGACAGAGGAGTTGTTTCCTGCAGCAGCAAGAGAAGAGACAAAAGGTGAAAGGAGACAGAAGAGAAGCAGAAGCAGCAGCAAACGACACCCCACAGGTTTGCTGCAGTCCTTCATTAGCTGCTGCACATGCGCTCTCGTGAAGTGAGCGTCTAGCAAAGCGTTTATTCCTAAGACAAAAATAAATAAATAAATAAATAAATAAATAATTAAATAAAAGAATTAACTTAAAGATGAATATATAAATAGACAAGTAATAGTAAATCAATAAAAAACAAACAAGCGAGCGAACAACCAAGAAAAAGAAACAGACGGAGACAAAGAGATAGATAAGGAGATAGATAAGGAGACGGACAAGGAGACAGATAAGGAGACAGATAAGGAGACAGATTAGGAGACAGATAAAGAGACAGATAAAGAGACAGATTAGGAGACAGATAAAGAGACAGATAAGGAGACAGATAAGGAGACAGATAAAGAGACAGATAAAGAGACAGAGACAGATAAGGAGACAGGTAAGGTTACAAAAAGAGAGATAGATAAGGAGACAGATAAGGATAGAGAGACAGACAAGGAGTCAGATAAAGAAGAGAGAAAGAAGACAAAGAAGGAGACAGACAAGGAAAGGGAGAAGCATGTAGGGGGTATGGAGGAGACTGTCTCCTCTCTAGGGTTTAGGGTTTAGGGTTTAGGGTTTCAGGGTAAGGAGGAGACTGTCTCCTCTCTGTCTCCTTTTACTCTCACCTCTGCTCTTCAAGTGCTGCGGCCTCCACAGAATACCCATTCCAAGGCTTAGCATCTGCAGCGCGAGACAGAGGCGCCCTGAGGAGACAGCTGCTGCTGCTGCTGCTGCAGCGGCTGCTGCTGCTGTCGCGGGAGAAGCAGCAGCAGCACCTGCAGCATTCGGTGCAGCAGCAGCAGCTGCTGCTGCTGCTGCTGCTGCTGGAGACGAAGGCAAACTCTCCAGTAGGATAACCCTTACTAAATGTTGCGTAACAACTGCAGCAACATCAATACCCCCAACTGCAGCAGCAGCAGCAGCAGCAGCAGCAGAAACAAAAGGAGACAAATGGAGATAAGCAAGGATAGAGAGAAACAAGAAGAGACGCAAGGAGACCACAGAAGACGAGGAGACAGACAGAGAGAAAAACAAACAAACGAGACAAAAGGAAGAGACAGGAGACAGAAAGAACATCAAAGGACAATAAAAGGAGACAGATGAAAATAAATGCAAATAAAAGGAGACAGAAGGAGACAAAAAGTTATAAAAGGAGACAAAAATAAACAAAGAGAGACAAAAACGTGAAAAGACTCTAAACCCTGAAGAGACTCCACTGTAAACCCTCAACAAACCCTAAACCCTCAACAAACCCTAAACCCTCAACAAACCCTAAACCCTCAACAAACCCTAAACCCTCAAGAAACCCTAAACCCTCAAGAAACTCTAAACCCTCAACAAGCTCTAAACCCTCAACAAACTCTACACCCTGAAGAGACAGTAAACCCTGAAGAGACAGTAAACCCTGAAGAGACAGTGAAGGCCCCGTGCTCACCTCTGCTAAACTCAGGTCTTAGGTAGACGGCATTAGCGAGCAGCACCAGCGCAGCATCAACAGAGTTCGAGTGCTGCAAGAGGAGACAAGGAGACAGGAGGGAGACAAAAGGAGACACAGAGGAGACAGAAGAAATTAAAAGCAGCAAACGTACAGCAAGAAGAAGCATCTGCTGTCTCCTGATGCACCGTCATCATATACTTGAGGGTTTAGGGTTTAGGGTTTATAGACAGTCTATAAACGCTTCTTTCTTCCGCCCGCTCACCTTGTGAATCTCTCCAGTTGCAGCAGCAGCAGCAGCAGCTGCTGCTGCTGCTGCTGGCCCGATTCCCCATGCTGCTGCGCAGCAAAGAAGACGCAGAGCTGCCTCAATGTCTTGCAGCAAGTTGCTGCTGCTGCTGCAGCAGATTGCGTACTGCAGCAGCTGCATTGCTGCAGCGGAGACCTCTCCAGTGTCTCCTCTCGGGAGACAGGAATAAGCAAGGGCGAAGAGACTAACAGGTGGAACCTGCTGTTGCTGCTGCTGCAGCAGCAGCTGCTGCTGTTGTTGTTGCTGCTGCTGCTGCTGCTGAGATAGAGCAGGCGCAGTGTCTCCCAGGCGCTGCAGACGGCAAAGGAGACACCTTTCAAAGGCCACCGCCAATTCTTCTGTCTCCTCTTTGCTAAGCTGCAGCAGCGGCAGCCAGCAGCAGCGCAGCAGCAGCGAGAAAGAAGATATACACTTTGCTTTTAACAGCGAAGAAGACGCAAAGACAGGCGAGTGCTGCAGCAGCAACAAAGCGCCTCCGACAGCAGCAGGGGCCTGCAGTTGCTGAAGCTGCACTGCTGCTGCTGCTGCTGCTGCTGCTGATGGACTTGCTGCTGCACCTGGTGCTGCAGCAGCTGCTGCCCACACCACTGTCTCCTCAGGTACCGCACGGCACAGATGCGACAGACCTCTTGCTGCTGCTGCTGTTGCTGCTGCTGCACCTTTTGACTCTCCCCTGGCCACTGCTCGCAGCAGCGCAGCATCGCTAGATTCTGCTGCTGCTGCTGCTGCAGTTGGATCTCCGAGAACATAGTCTTGCTGCAGCCGGTAGGAAGATAGCTCGATCATCCATAGCTGCTGCTTGCGCTGCTGCTGTTGCTGTTGGTGTTGCTGCTGTTGTTGCTGCTGCTGCTGCTGTTTATGGCGTTTTCTGTACACTGCAGCAACTTTGCGAGAGAGTGCAGCGTCAGCAGCAGCAGCTGCTGCTGCTGCTGTTGTGTTGCTGCGCATGGCTGCCGTATACACCGCCCAAGGGGTAGGGGCCTTAGGGGGGAAAGCAAGAGAGGAGAGAGACAGATCTAGAGCTTCATACAGATTGTCTCCTTCTGCTGCTGTCGCTGCTGCTGTTGCTGCTGCTGCTGCTGCTGCACCTGCTGCTGCCCGGGGAGGAAAAGGAGACGCCAAACGAACGGCGGAGTTGAGGCTTTGAATGGAAGGCAGCCGCAGAGTTGTCTCCAAGAGACTGCTGCTGCTGCTGCTGTTGTTAATGTTGCTGCTGCTGTTGATGCTGCTGCTAGACTTCCCCTTCAGCTGCTGCCGCCAGCGCCGTAGCAGGCGACAGCCAACAGGAGGAACAGCAGCAGCTGCTGCACCTTTTATGACGGCTGCTGCAGCTGCATCTGCTCGTGCTGCTGCTGCTGCAGCAACACCTGCAGGTTGCGCAGCAACTGCAGTTCGGGCTGTTCCCGCATGACAATGCAGCAGACCTTCTGCTGCTGCTGCTGCGGCTTCTGCAGCAGCAGCAGCAGCAGCCAGTTCGATGCTGCCAGCAGCTGCTGCTGCGGGATGGTGCTGTTGCTGCATCAGGAGCTTGCGAGCTGCTCGGTGCGCAGCAGCAGCAGCAGCAGCAGCAGCGTGCTGCTGCTGCTGCAGCAAATCAGCAGCCATCGCCTTCAACATCAAAGAAGGTAAAGGAATCGAGAGGCTCATCTCTACTCCTAACAGTGCAGGGAAGACGGGCACAGGCGGCGGCAGCAGAAAGGGCAGCAGCTGCAGCAGCCCAGCATCTGCTGCTGCAGAAAAGCCGAAAGGCGCAAAGAAACCAGACAGCAGCAACGCCTGTAGAGGCAGACTGCTGCTGCTGCTGCTGCTGCTGCTGTTCTCGCTGCTGCTGCTGCTGCTGCTTGACAAGTGATCCAGGGGAAGCATCAGGACGCCACAGTTTGCATATATGATGTGCTGCGCTGCACCGCAGCAGCAGGAAGCACAAGGAGGCTCTGCTGCTGCTTCTGCTGCTGCTGCTACTGGGGCTGCGGCCGCCAGAGACATCTGCTGCAGCAATGGAGCTATAGCAGCAGCAGCACCGGTTCGTTGCTGCTGCGGCACGCTGCACTGCAGCTGTGTCGCTGCATTCCCGTTGCTATTGCGTGTGCTGCTTGAGCGACCGCTGCTGCTGCTGCTACTGCTGCTGCTGCTGTTGCTGCTGCTGCTGCTGCTGCTCTGCAGCGCGAAGCTACTTGTGGTCGTGAAGTCTCCTCTGAGTTTGGGGACAAAGACATGAGGCCCCAGGACTGGCGTTGCTGCTTCTTCCTCTTCTTCATCTTCATCTTCTTGCTGCTGCTGCTGCTGCTGCTGCCTTTGTGCTGCACCGCTGCAGCAGCAGCAGCAACATGAAGTAGTCGGCAGCTGCAAATGCCCTAAAGCCACCCCCCAGCGCGTTAACTCCATGTGAGGAGACGAAGCAAAAAGACTTTGGTTCTGCATGAAGAGACAAAATTGCTTCTGATGTTCTGCTGCTGTTTGCGGCAGCCCCTGCTGCAGCACACCCGGTAGCTGCAGCAGCGGCATTACCGACAGCAGCAGCCCTGATTGAATCTTCCATAGAAAGAGACAGCTGCTGGTGATGCAGCAGCAGAAATCCGACAGCAAATCTGCTGCTATCTTCTTCACATGTTTGCTGCTGCAGTTCGGGTGTCTCTGCAGCAAGAATACACCTCGAGGGTTAGTTGGGCGTGGTACGTGCTGCAGCAGCAAAGGCAACGAGCCTCCTGCTGCTGCTCCTCTATAATGCACAGCCATTGGTGTCTCAACAAACCCCACAAGCTCTTGTCCAGCTTCTGCTGCTGCTGCTGCTGCAGCACCTGCTGCAGCAGGTGCTGCTGCTACTCCCGCAGCAGCAGCAGCTGCTGCTGCTGCTGCTGTTGCTGCTGGAGTCAACAGCTTGCTGCAGTCAACGAGGGCGAAGGCCCCACATACAGAAGCAGCAGCAAAACACCAGCTATCAAATGCCGCTCTGCTGCTACCACCAGCAGCAGATAAAACTCTAAAAGCAGCAGCAGCAGCAGTCGGCAGCACTTGAGGAAGAAACCCTAGAAGCAAAAATCTAGGGGGGCACCACAGCAGCAAATCCCCGTTGTTTGTGAGGCCTCCAACAAGTAAGCTGCTGATGCTGCAAAGAGCAGTAACTATTGTCTTCTTCCCGCTGCAGCCGGGGGCCCCTCTTCCTGCTGCTGCTCCTGCTGCTCCTGCTGCTCCTGCTGCTGCTGCTATTCGAGGGTCAATCCAGCTAGCGGGTGTTGGCAGCAAATATACAGAAGGATGAGGACGCTCTGCTGGAGGCCACGGGAGGGGGGGGCCCCCACCAATGCTGAAGGAGCTGCTTCCTTCTTCAGACTCTTGCTGCTGCTGCTGCTGCCGTTGTTGTTGTTGTTGTTGTTGTTGTTGCTGCTGCTGCTTGTTCTTTCGTGTTGTGTTTACTCGGTTTAAGTGCACTGCAGTCACAGCGCCGTCAGAAAAAGAAGAAATAAAATATACACCCCCCTGGCTCTCCGCCAAGCAGCAGCTCACGCAGTGCTTGCTGCTGCTGCTGCTGCTGCTACTGGTGTCAGCTGCAAAGGGCCACCGCAGCAAATGCTTGTGCCCGTTCGCGGAGCCCCAGAAGGAAGCAGGCTCTGATAGCAAACGCAGCCTGCTGCTGCTGCTGCTGTTTGCTGCTGCACCGAAGACAGCAGCAGAGGGATTGAACAGCAACGGCAGGGGAGACTTACGCCTCTTAGCGATTGTGCTGCTGCTGCTGCTGCTGTTGCTGCTGCTGCTGCTGCTGCTGCTGCTGATTTGCTGCAGTGCTCCCCTCAGTGCTGTAGGAATGCGCCATACATCACTCAGACTGAAGGAGAAGGTCGCTCCCACCTCTCCCCACACACTTCCTGCAGCAGCAGCAGCAGCAGCAGCTGCTGCTGCTGCTGCAGCTGCAGGGAAATGCTGCCGCAGCAACCAGCCAAACGTGAAGCGGTCCGGTCTGCTGGGGGTGACGCCCAGTATGCCGAGGCCCGCTCTGCAGCAGGCCTCGGCTGCTGCATCTCCTGCTGCAGCAGCAACAGCAGCAGCAGCTGCTGCTGCTTCTGAAAAGAGAGGAAAGAAAACAGGCCCAGGCAGCGGCGCACAGTCAGCTGTCAGCAGCTGCAGCGGCACTGTCCCCAACGCAAGCCCCCCTGGTCTGCCCAAGCTGAAGCCCCCTTGCTGCTGCTGCTGCTGCTGCTGCTGCTGCGTGTCCGGGAAGGAGAGAGGAAAAAGAAAGAGACGGCCCCGAGATGTGTAAGCCAAGAGGAGACACTCTGCTGCAGCAAATGCAGCACTGGGGCACACCCTGCTGCCCCCAGGCCACAGCACCCCTGTCTCCAGCAGCTGCTGCTGCTCTTGCTGCTGCTGCTGCTGCTGCTGCTGCTGCTCGCGGCTGCAGTACCGGAACTTCAGGGTGTCTGTAGCAATCGAAGCCCACAGGTCGCTCGTGTCTGCTGGCAGCAGCTGCATACCCGCCCAAACCTCCCCCTGCAGCAGCAAACACAGCAGCAACTCAAATGTAGCAACAACTGCAGCAGCAACTGCACTAGCAGCAGCACCAATAGCTGCTGCCGCTGCTGCAGCAGCGATAGCGGCAGAACGAGAAGCAGCAGAAGCTACACCTTGAGGGCACGAAGAAACTGCGCAACTAGCAGCATTAGAGCCAGCAACAGCAGCAACAGCAAGAGCACACACCTTGTGGGTCCTGCATGAGCAGCCAATGTCTTGCTGCTGCAGCATTTGGTGCAGCAACAGCAGCTGCTGCTGCTGCTGCATTGCGGGCGGCGCCCAGGGAAGGGCATCAGAGAGACAGAAGAGCTCAGAATGTCTTTCATACGCACCCCCCTGTCTGCGATGCCACAGCAGCAGTCTCCTGCTTGAGCGCAGCACAACATAAGAAGAAGAGACAGCTAGCTGCTGCTGCTGCCTCCCGCTGCTACAAAATGTGTCTCCATTCAAAGTCCCCGTTGTTTCAAATACAGGGGAAACAAGCGGAGGATCCCATCTGCTGCTGCTGCTGCTGCTGCTGATTGTGCTGCTGCTGCTGCTGCTGCTGCTGCTGCTGTTGCTGCTGCTGCTGGTGGTGGTACTGGTGGTCTGGAGGTGCTGCTGCAGCACACTAGTTTTTGCTTCTGCAGCAACAGCTGCTAGCATATCGTCTGGTGAACGCAGGGCCCAGCCCGAAGGAGACGGAGTAGCAGGGGCCCCAGCCACGGGGTGGGCTCTGCGCCAGCTTCTGAGGGTCGCCCTGCAGCAGCAGCAGCAGCAGCAGCGGCAGCAGCAGCAGTAACGTCAGCAGGTAAAGTCAGGCACTAGCTACTGCGCAGATAGAGGTGGGCATCATTCAACAGCTGCACTGCAGGAGCAGCAGAAACAGCAGCAGCAGCAACTGCAGACGCAGCAATAACGGCTGCAGGGACGGCAACATATAAACTTGCAGCAGCAGCAGCAGCAGCAGCAGCAGCAGCAGCAGCAGCA